GTAAAGCAACTGCAAACGCAAAACTTTATTTGGGGGGGGGGGGGGGGGAGGAGGAGATTGCCATTAATTATTCTGGCCGCTCTTGTTCCCTTAAGGCTCTTGTCTGGCCCCTGCGGTGGTTATGCTCCGGTTATTATAGGGTTATTTTTAGCCAGGATTATGTTTAAAAGAACAGCTTGGAGCCATCTCTGTGTTTAATAGTAAAATGCACTTTTGTACAGCTGATAAAAATGGTCTTTCATGAGGATTAGATGCTACTTTTCAAGAGGTACAGCTGCCACTTTGCATGCTCAGTTGTCAGATCTTTTTCTGATCTTCTGTTTTATGGAGGCAACACAGAATTAGATGTTATAGAGTTGCTAAGAAATTTTGTGTTTGTTTATATCCACTGAAACGTGCCTAAACGGTTAAAAATTCTGAAGGCTAAAGGGTTTCTGCAGTACACTGACTCTTTTTCACCTTTTGCTTCGGGTGAAATCTCTTGTGAAAGTGAATTATATATAATTTTGACTTGCCCTATTTGTTATTTCCTCTGTATCCTTTCAGGATGAATTCCTTCTGTGTTTGTTCAACGGTGTGCACATTAATATATGGTAATAGGTTAAACGATATTTCTGAAGTACTTGTCAAACAACTTCTGCAGTTCACCCCCTCACCTGGCAGGTTTCTGACTGCAAATATGGCAGGACAGTATGTTTACCAGTTTCTGAGTCACCACACTTACAGCCCACAGTGTTAGATTTAAACAGATTTACTTTCATATACGAAGTGCTAACCTGCAAGCTGTTCCCCCCCACACACACCTTCAACTGTCCTTGTGAGAGTAGTAGGCGGACAGATGGGGATAGTACAAGCGTTTGTTGTCCTAGTTTCCTCTAGCAAACATGGATCAATGTCTACATGGGAAAGCAGATATCGTGGAACTCATGGCTCTTAGTAGTCCTTACAGCCTGAAATCCTGAATTAATATGTAAAGGACCCTCTGCCACACTGCGGACCAGGGTGAATTTGCAGCGTTTTCCCTTATGGTTGCTGCTGTTTATGTACAGTTCAGTGTCACTTTCACTAAAATGCTACTGAGTGAAGTTTTTTTTTTTTTTTAAACAAAAGGAATTTATGGAGACTAAAATGAAGTCATTTAAAATGCGACTGATTAAAAAAGAAGATGCTGTGCTTCTAACAAGTGGTTCAACTTTTGCTGACTGTAAATTTTGAACTATTCTCTCATTGCCTGCAGCACGGACCAAGTACCTGTTTCCTCCTGCTGTGCTGTATCTGAGGACTTTGAATTGCTGTGTTATATCTGAGGACTCTGTAGTGAATTGGGGCATCCACAAGCCGGAGAACATCATTAGCTGCCAACAACTACAACTTACACCACAGTATTTTAAGGCAACCTGGGAAGTGGAGAGGATTTACTCGAGGTTGCTGCATTACAGTGGCTCAGCAGCTGAATCATGAGTACTCTGGCCATCCATATGTTAGTTGTAGGTCAGACTTTAAGTCACTCCAGGAACCACGGTAAGCTGTGCTGGCACTGCTAATAAATCAGAACCCTGAGATCCACCACTGACTCTTTTCCAAAAAATACTGCCTCATGTTGAGTCGTAGGATGCAGCCACAAGTGGTTGAGTGATTTGAGAAAAGCACCCAGATCTGCTTGTTAAATATCGGAGACTAGAATCTGTCTCTCTCCCGTGGTTTTTAAGAGCTGTAGGTGCATCTCCTGGGAAGGAGGATGTGACAAAGGAAAATGGAACACCTCTATTGCAGACTGTAATGATTTTAAGTCTTTGACCTGCAGGTGGTCGGAGATTGATGGGAAATATTTAGTAATTCATGAAATTGTACACAAGAGACTCTACCTAATTACTGATACAATTTGTATTATATTACAGAAGAATTATTGCATCTAATCCTAGATGATTGGCACCCTTGCTTCTATTTACTGGGATGGATTCCGTGTACGCTATCGCTGACTGTCGTTCTCAGTGTTTCTGTGAACACTAACACTACATCTTCATAAGCAGAAAAAATTGCTGCAAAAACCTTGACGTAAGAACTCAAACTGATGGCAGAGCAACTCATATAGGTATAATTTGCCTGAATTATTGAGCAAGGTTGAGACTTGAACTTGGCAAAGACCCCGTAGAAACTTTCTTCAGGCATCTGTTCTTTTAGCAGTTGAAGGTAAACAGCATACTAAGAAGACTTAAATCTCTTCAGGGTCCCAAAAGCTGGAGTGTGGTCTGGGGTCAAATCCACCAGAAGTGTTTAAGGTAAAGAGAGAGTTACCATGTTTGAACTGCAAGGACATGTTAGGTCCTTCCTGGATAGGTAGAATTATTTTAAAGTGGCTTTTATCCCAGCGCTCAGCACTGAACCCAGATTTCAGTGGATGTTACAAAATGATTTACTGCTTTGAAATTCACTTATTGCTGTAGAAGAGCAAGTTCAGGGTGTGTTTGAAAGGTATGGTTCTGATTTCAATGCTGATTAAATTATTACTCAGATTTCATCTGTTGCAACCTTCGTCTTGCAGAAGGAACACTTCAGTTCAGAAGTACCTCCGCCTAGCAAAAAAACATCTGTTGGTTTCTGCGTTAATGAAGGGGTGACAAATAGGTTTTGATGGAACTGGAAGTCAGTGGTGCAAGAGAGTAAAGTTTTAGGGCTTTCCTGTTTAAAATATGGTTTTCAGCTGTAATGGGACAATTGTGTATCAATTGTCCCATGATTTAATACGTACATGAGGACAAATCACTGCTTGCAGAAGTTGCAGAAAGACTCATGTCAAGAAATGGTGGTAGAGATCATTATTTGGAAATATTTCACCCTAGTAATTACTATTTCAGGACATGAGTATGAAATAAAATTTGTAACCGCCTCCTACGCAGTGAGTACAGCTGTATCTTACCCATACAAAAGGAGATGTGTTCCTGTTCCAAAACTTCCTTCTGTTGTTGTTATTTTTTAATTGCATTCTTATTTGCTTTCTTTATACCTGAGCTATAGCTTGCTGGTGCTCACTGAGACTCTGCTGGCTTGATGAAGTCATGGTACAGCAGTGTCTTCTGTGTTGGTGTGCCTGACCCTCCGATGCCTGTGTTGCCTGGCAGGTGAAAGCCGATGGTTTGGGGGTCAGTCTGAGGCACAGGGCAAGGGTTAGGGCTCCAGAGCCGAGTTCTTCTCTCCTGAGTTTTAGTCATCTCCCTCTTTCCTGATGTTTAAGAGCTGTTGATGTGCTAGAAGGATGCACACTGCTGTTTATCAGTGTGATTCCTACGTTGATGAAATTCTCAGAAGTGGAAGTTTTTCACTTTATTTGAGGGAAGCATTGCAGTGGGGATAAAGGTTACTTAGGGGTGCAAGGAGGCTTCCTGAAAGCTTCTTGATGCCTCCTGGCTAACAATCCCAGCCTCTTACTCATCTCTGCATTTCACCGTGAAGAAAGGAAAGGGCCAAGGAAACAGTTAAGAATTGGTAACTCATGTGAAATGAGAAATATCCCTCCTATTTGAGGCCACTGGCATGAGTGTGTAAAGAGCCTGCAGATCTTGTTATCTTCTCCTGTGAGTTGCATTTAAATGGGAAGAGACTATAGAGTGCTACAGTATAAGAGAGACATTAGAGTATATTTATCACAATTCATTGTTAACAGATAAATGAAAATGTTGCTTCCACGGGATATGGATATGGTAGAACGCTGATTTTTTTTTCCCTGTGTTGTAGAATAGCCAGTATAAATAAGTTTCACTTTGCAGGTTAGTTTGAGAGCAGTATGTATAGTGGTATCAGATCCTTGCTGGGGTTCCTATATTTGAATCTTCAGACATCAGCTGATGTAATCCTGGCTTACACTGCTAATCTATGTTTGACCCTTGGGCGACTCAGAAACGTTCGGACTGTAGTTGCTTGCATCGTTTGCATTGTAGCAAAGGTGGAAAAAGGTTTACATTGAAATTGTCTTTTGGATAGTCTCACATGCAGTGTATTGCTAATTTTTTTTTTTTTTTAGTTCCTGGTCTCATATGGAACGTATGGGAAAGATACTGTGTGAAAATCTGTTCAACTGCTTAGCTAATTAGAGGGGCACATGAGTATTATGGTGCTGCTACCACTTTCTGCAGATCTCCTATCCGCTCTTGAGAGGGAGAATTGAGGTATTTCGGTTATTGTGAAAATTTGATGTTCATTTTTCTTGTTTTAATGTAAGGGTTTTTCAGTATGTTAACTTAGTTTCTTACTGTTATTTTAGTTAATGTTGACATTATGGCCATTCTTAGGATATGGCTTTTTTGGTTCTACTTTGAACTCTAAGCAGCAATAAGTACTTGCATTTTCGTTGAATGCATACAGCTTCGTCTTCAAAGTCTGTACTATTTTCCTAGAGTCTTCTGAATTATTTGATGGATGCACACACACTAGTTTTGAAGTAAAACGTGAACACACGCGCAGACTCCTGAGCTCCTTGAAATATCCCATGATCCAGAAACTTGCAGAGCTCTGCTTCCCAGCGCAGGCAGGTGTGACTAGTGCGCAGAAGTGCGTGGTCACAAAGCCGCCCGGAACAGGACTAGAATTTCCCTGGTTCAGTGTCGTGTTCCCCAAAGTACTTGGAGGCGCTGAGGGGAGCACTTAGGAGCTATGCAGTTAGTAACAGAGTCACAGTCTCCTGTATGCATGGAAGTTTTATTTGGCTCCTTGTTTTCCCTTAAGCTATGTGGATGATATAACTTTTGCTTTATGTACGTATACCTTTTACCTGGGTTAAGTTCTAATGCGTTGGATCCCCAAAAATGAAGCTCATGTTGAAGTAAATAACGTGGATCAGTGACGGATCAAAACTAAGGCTGGCAGTGGGGGGAGGAGGGGAGAAAAAAGCCTGCTGATACTCTGGTGTTGCACCATTTTAGATGAGTGTTTTCTCTGGAAACTCCTTGTTAAACCTGGATGAGTGTTAATGCAACTTTGGACCCTCATGAGGCCCAGCAGCACTTAGTGCAGAGTAATCACACAGCTTTAACAATCAACTGTTAAGCAATTAGCTGTCTCAGTCTTAATTATGAAGATGCTACTCTAGCATATTATTCTAGGGCATGCACATGATCCTTCTTGAATTGTTTGCTTCTTATAGTCTCATGTCTGCCTGCACCACGTGAGGTGCAGGAGGAGGCTCTTTCATACCTATGAGACCTTTCTGCCCTAAAACTTGGAGTAAAATTATTTATTTTTAGGAAAAAAACAAACAATTATTTTGACAAACCACTGTATCTGAATATAATTTGAATTGGAGGTTGGGATAAAATGTTTGAAAAAACATGTATTCAACAAATTATTTGCTCATACTAAAAAAAATTAATTGTTCCTGTTTCAGTAAGGTAGCTGCAAAAAAAAAAACCTTAAGTGTTTTGTTCTGAATGTATGCTGGTTCTTGACAGGAGTTGATTATCTTTTTACAGAAAACTGTATTTAAATGTTAATTATGAATGTTAATTCATCATTATAAAAATGTTAATTTTCTCATTTTGGTTAAAAACTTACAGAGGGAAAATCGCATTTTACGTGTATGGAACCGTGGAACGTGTATGGATATTTAGCTTTTGATGGGGTGGATCTTCCATGTGTGAGAAGTAATTAGCCTGCATGAAGCAACGTTGAGGCAAGATAGAATCACTCCCCATATTTTTATTTTTGAGGCTTTTGGTAACTAAATGGACAAGAGTCATTGTTTGAAACTGGTCTGGTTTGTAGCTGCCTATTAAAAAACATAATGCCAATATGAATAGCCATATTTTTTGCTGCTGTAGATACTAGGGGCACAAATTTCACGTATCATTTGAAATACTGATGACAGTTTGGGAGAATGTATTGAAAGCTTCTGATAACCGAACTATGTTGTGAATTCAAAATCTTGTTTGGTTTTGTATGTGTGGGTTTTTTTGTTTTTTATTTGCCAGTGAGTTTGACTTACAAAAAGTTAACAACTTTCAGCGTTCAGCAGCTGCTAAATTTTGAATTCATTCACTCCATTAGGTGTTATCTTTTGAAACTTGAAGTTTTGACTTTGAAGAAAACTTTGTAGCTCTATGTTTATAATTTTGAAAGTGCTTGGTGGGAAGGAAAAGAAAAAAGACTTGATCAGCAGATTTCTTCTGCGTGCCATTATAGACTTAATAGAGCCAGGTCTGGCACTCTTCAGAATAATTTCAGTATTCAGGGAATTGTTCCCCAGTGGGCAGAAGATGATCAAAGTGTAAAGTAGTCTTTTCTGTATCCCTTCCTTTTTTTTTTTTTTCTTTAGATTCTTTAGAGAGTGAGAACATGAGAACACCTTGATATGTAGAGAAATGATAGTTCCTGGATAGGTAATTGCTGCTAGCAGTGTGTATAGGAAACAGCAAATTAACTTGATGAGTATGAGATGCCCTGGCTGGGGAGCGTGGAGTTCGTACAGAGGAGTTTGCAGTGGATGAAGGTGCTGCAGGAGGTATGGAAGACACAATGGTGTCTTCAGGGATGGCTTAGAAAGGGAAGAGAGATGGAGATGAGGAAAGAGGAGAAGCGAGCTGCAGGCAGCCTGGAGAGGTCTGTGAACCCCTGGGGGTGTGGGCAGAGCACTTGGAAACTTCAGAAGGATGCGTATATGGGGAGCGGAAGAAATACAGAGCAAGAATGGTCTTTGTGGAAACTGAGGTTTATAGTGAGGATGATGGGGGATAATTAGAGCCTCAAGAGTGGGAGGAGTGTGGAGCTGAAGAGTAGGAAGCAGGCATGGTAAGAAATTGGAGCAGAGGATGGGAGGGGAAAATGGAGAAGCCCATGGAGAAGATGATGCAGCTGAGGCCTGCAGTGAAGCCCTGCTGAAGCTAAAGTTCTTCCTATGCACAAGTGTCAGGAGCAAACAAAGGAATTGTTGGCCTGTATCATTTTTCTCTTCTGTGATTTTTTTAGACTTGAGTTTTATCTCTGACTTCTCTGCTGCTAGTTTTAGAAGGATATCTTTTTAAAAAGATTTTCCATGTTTATTCTTCTCTGGACTTAATGCATGTAAGTTTCTTTTTTTTATTCTTTCTGTTAGTCTGCATTTTTCTCTGCGTAATCTTTGCTTCAATCTCTTCAATACTGCTTGTGCACTCTTCAGCAGTACCAAGAATGCCTTTGTTGAAGGACAAGAAGTCTCATCCTAGAACTTTCTTATCGTGTTCAAATCATTACCCTTGACACTTTAATTCATTTTGAAAACATGATTTTGATGATTACTGTCATCCATTCCCCTTCAAATACTCGAGACCCCCATGTACCCTCAAAACATTATGTACTCTTATGGTTTAAAACCAGTGAAAGGGGCTGAAGGGGGGATTCTTCACATTTTTAAAGCAACTTGTCGCATAAAAATCTCTCTGCAGGAGTGTATTTACTGGGGAAGTATGGGCAGAAGAAAATCAGAGAAATCCAAGAACGAGAAGCAGCTGAATACATCGCCCAAGCGCGAAGGCAGTATCATTTTGAAAGTAATCAGAGGACATGCAATATGACAGGTAAGATGAGGAAATACTTACTGTTCTTGGTAGGTGGAATTATTTGGGGATTTATATTACATACTGATGAGATGAGAGAAGAGTAAGAAATGTAGCTGGATTCAGAATCTTACAAATTGAATACTATTATATAAATATAGTCAGTTTATGTAATAAAAACAGAATCAAAAGAACGGAGGACTGAAAAGATTTCTAGAGGTCATCTCAGCCCTTGATTTTGAATATATCCATCCGTACATGCATACATCAATACATGAAGGTTACAGCTTTTATCAGTTCAGAACCCTTTCTGTAGTCTTTTGAATGACGCGTAGTATTGACAGGTGAGACAGCACCCAGATTCAAAAAAGGTGCTGAATTTACAACAGCATTAGTTCTCTTATTCATTATAGCATGTTGTTAGTAAGCTACACACAGAACTTGATGTGTTTCTTACTGTAAATAGAAACAACCCACCAACACATTAGTTCCCTATGCTTAGAACGGTTAAAACGTACTTCGCTAGCTTGGTGGCAAAAATGAAAGCGATTGTATTTTAGCGTTTGTCTCTGGATCGTGGAGAGGAGATAGTGGGACAGAGCTTAACAAAATCGTCACTCATTTAAGTACATGTCGTTCAAAAATATTTCTGTAACACAAATTGGGCAGTATTTCCTCCTTCTTTGGAAATTTGTAATGGCTTCATGGGTGGCTGAAAATGCTTTGTGTGTTCCTTGTTATCCCTGATCAATCTATATTTTCTCTTTTAATCTTTTCCATTTTGTAGCGCTGGGACTGATTTTACTGCAAGGGCTAAGTTTTCTTTGGCCATTCATTGTACCAAGTACCTTCTGTCTGGCAGGGTGCATTCTTTTTGCCCTTTTTTTCATATTTTGTTCTTAGCGTTTATTCTATTCTGTGCATGCTTGTTTTCCGTTTCCTGTTCCCAGGAGTTTGGATGTTAAATTTTCGAGAAGTAAAGGATTTTTTCCTGCAAGCTTTCCTTTCTTTAAAACGTACCTTTCTCACATGTCTTTCTGGCCCTTTTATTGGAAAACAACTCAAAACTTTTTCTTCTCTTCTGGGAAATGCAACAGTGTAGATTTTAACCAGTTTACTTCTGGAGAACTGAGGGCATGTACATGCAGATATGCATGTCGTAAGTATGTGACTGTAGGTAGAGCCACGTAGCCACATAAAGACAGCAGTTTTCCTGAGCTGCTAAGAGGCAAGCAGGTAGCTGCACTTCTGAGCACTCTCAGGATTTCCTCCGTTGCTTGTCCTCACAGCTTTGCATGCTGAGCATGATATCTATGCTATATAGTAGTTACTGAGTGAGAGTGAGTATATAATGAGAGTTGGGGACAGGTTCAAGATGTTTTTTTTTGACGTCGACAAGTTTTGTTTTTTTTCTTTCAATGATAGTGCTGTCAATGCTTCCAACATTGAGGGATGCCTTAATGCATCAGTTAAATTCTGAGAGTCTCACATCGCTACTGAAAAATAGGTAAGACTGTTTTGTTAAATGTGTTAAGGGTAACGTCTTTTGATCACAGGATAAAGCCTTTTTGTTTTAATAATGTGTTTGTAATTTAGAGAACGTGCAAGATTTTGAATCTTTGTCCCCTTGAATCACTGCTCTTAAAGTATTTTGAAATCATTTATGTAAATATTTTGTGTCATGTTAGGCATAGTCTGATAGGTATGACTGTCATTCTCCAGCTATTACAAGAAATGATCATTGCTTTGGGCTGCTGCAATGAGAGCCATAGTTTTTGGTGAGTGCTTGTAAGATTGGCAGATAAGTGCTTACGGGATCTGATCCTCTTGTTAAATAGGATGCAGTATCTTGAATGAGTTTTTGATGTTACGCTTGTTAAAATTGTTTATGCAATCTTATCAAGGTCAGATATGTAAATGGTACTGGGAAGTATCCAAGGTGAGATTACAAGTGGATAGCTGTCTGAAAGAAGTGAGCTATGAGAAGTGAGTGTTGTTGTTGTGTGGGTTTTTAGTAGAGCAAGTAGAGGCATGTCATACGTAAAGAGGAACGTACAGAGTTTTAGATACACTTCTTTGCTGTGAAGTTACTCAACAACAAAAAAAGTTAGAGTAATTGACACTCATAGACAAAGACACTTGCCTGTGATAATAACTTATAAGCCTGTGATTACTTATAAGCAATCGAATAGAAGAAATACTTTGTTTTGTAGTAAAACTAGTGATAAAAGTGAATATGGACCCACTACATTCCAATTCTGACCTGTTCAAGTTTCTTATCCCTGGCAGGGTAAAAACACCTTATTTTCATTATAACTGCAGGAACAAATAGCATGTTTTTAAACACACAAAGTGCAAAATAGCATACTGAAAAAGTGGAGTAAGCTGCTTGGCATTTAGCATGGAGTAAGAGTATTAGGTAGGCAGTTAATGCAGGGTTCCTGACTCGCTCTAAACCGCCTCTGTAGTTTACCTCCCACTAACTTATTTATGTAGCTATAAGTTCAGCTGTCCAGCATTTAATAAAATGCCTGTCCAGTCATTGTCCTTTTTCCGTCCAAAGCCACCCACAACCAGGCCACAGAATGTGGTATTTGTGATGGGAATTGTACACTGAATAATGCATTGATAATGGCTTATTTGAGAATTAATAAGTGTAATTGAACATTATTTACTCAAAACAATAAGGAATTGAAAATTTTTAATTTTCATGGAATATTTAATTTGTTTGTTGTAATAAGAGTTTTACTCAAAGAAAAGTTCATCTGAATGAACAAGGGATCACATCGATCACCAGGTTTGTCATCGAGACTGCACAGCAAAACAGCCTGCAAAGGTCTGTAAACCTTTGCTTCGTGGTAAAGGTACATAATGGCTTTGTTTTTTCTCTGTAGCATGCATTCTTTCATCAGAACGTATCTGGTATCTCCAACTTGTTTGACTAGTTGGAGCAGTTTACAAGTATAATGACGCTTCTGAAAAGTTGGTGATCCCCATGAGAACGGAGATGAGATTACTGTTGTAACGAACAAATGTTTTAACAAATGCTGGTTACGTGCAGCTGAGGTCATGAGTGTCTTGTAAGCATGGATATCTGTTTAGACTGTACTCTTACAGTAGAGTTTGTATCTTAATGCTCCTTTTTCCAACCTTAGCTGAGGGTGTTTTAACTCAATGCTTGGACTTCTTGAATTGAAATGGCAGGGAGGGGGTTGGAGGGCACAGATCATGAAGTAATACATCAGAGATGGCATTAAGGTTAGTTGTTCAAGAAGCTCCATGTTCTTGTGCTATAGACCAAAGTATGGCTTTGTTTTCTTTCCACTTTGATTTGAGAAGATGAATCAAACTGCTTCAGACCTTTCCAATGCCATTGTTGTTGAGTGGACGAAAGAATTGATGTAGATATTTACCTTTCTTCATGTGCCTGAAGATACATTCTTTTTCTCATGTAATCTTTCTATAAGATCTTGTTAAGTTAAACTCCTGTAAATTAAAATCCTGGAAGTTCCTTGCATTTAAAAACTTGTTACGTTGTTTTAGCAATTTGGGGTGGCCAGGAGTAGAAAGGGGAGGCAGGCTTCAGTCTTCCGAAGAAACATTTCAAGAGGGAGCACCACACAAGACCACCAGTGTTAGTGCTTTGTCAGTCCTCCTTGTTTTAAAGCAGTGTGTTTGAATGAGGTGGGGCAAAGCAGTTGCTGTTGTAGTCTTGTGAATGTTCTATATCTCTCATCTATTCAACAGAGCTTTATTGCTAGCCTCTGTGTTATGTTTGCGTTACTTTTTGCCTTGCTTCTGTAGCAGATGATGGCTTCCTAAATAGACAGATGTGAAATAAAAGTGGAGTAGCTGAATCCTAATAAATGGCAACAGACAAAGACTGCAAAGTGTATTTCCCCTGTTAGACTTAATACCTGCAGACTTAAACTGATACATTGCTGTTGTCCTGTGGTGTGAGAAGGAACTTCATAAGCTTGAGCTCTATAAAATGTTTTGACATAAAAGGTGCAAATGAACTGGCTGAACTTGATATATTCTCTTATCTTTCTTTTCTGCTGACATGGAAAACTTTCCACTCATAAGTAACACATGGTTTTGAGTCCCATTATATGCATTATGCATTACCTACAGAAATGCTACAGTATCTTTTTTTAAGTCTTTCCTTTGTCTTATTCTATAACGGCTTATAAAACTTTAGCTTATGAGAAATAGCATGTGTAAGCTGTCTTGATATGTGCTACAGGTCTTCTCTGCATCTCTTCCAGCTATCCTTTCTTTAATCCGTCTCTTTCTAGAGTTGTAGGTTTAATAGTTCATTATATCATTTCATCTGCATTATTTGATAGTGGTGAGCTAAAAAGAATTAAAATTGTTTATGTGCAAGATGGTGTAATGGTCAAACTAATGACAAAGTGCATGTTTGTGTTCCAGAAAGATGAAAACATCCTGTAACAGTGAACTGTGCCTGTTCAGAGGAATTATTTCTAATGAAAAGTGCATTATTTTTATAAACTAGATTACTGTAAAATCTAAGCATAGGCTAATCTGAACTATCTTCCCTGCATATTTACCTTTGATTTTCAAAGTATTACTTTTGATTTTGAAAGTATTACTTTGCCAAATGTTTCGCAGATTACTTTAACAAATTATTTCGTTTATCATAGAGATACAGTAACCATTATTTACTGACAGTGCCTTTCAAAAGAGAAAGGCTGACAAAAATTTTTGGATGATTAACTTGCTCTCACCTCTGATAGCTGCAGCTATATTGCTAACGTTATCTCTGGTTTGTAGTTTTAAATGTGTCATGTACTTTAGGCAGTTCAGCTGCATCTGTGCAATCTACGGTCTTGCTCTTTTGACTGTAGAATAGATACAGTCTTAGGAATTGGTTAGGTCAAAAAGTAAACATACCTCTTGACAGGAAAACATAAAGCTTACATTTGTGTGGATGGGGCAGTACCTCTGTTTCACAGATGGTCAGGATCTGTTTCTGTTTTTTGGTCAAGTCTATACTTTAAAACCAGTTGAGGCAATGATGAATCTTCTAAGAAAAGTGGGATGGAAATTCTGATCCTGCAGTTGTTATGCGCAGGTGCATATGGAGAGACCTACTGAACTGAGGTCTGTGTTAAATATATACAAGATGAAGGCCCCAGAAAAGACTTAACCACTTGGTGCTATCAAAGGGCTTTTTTTCTGACTGCGTAGTGTAGGAACTCAGAATTGATAATATAACTGTATATAATCCACATCACTAAATACTGTGTTTATACATTCAAGTTTTATTATCTTTTCTATGACTTCATAGTGCATTGTTTATATACTATTTTCCTGAACTAGACAAATCAGTGTAGACATAAACCTCATATAAATAATTATAAAAGTTGCATAAACTTGCCTGGGAGCTCTACTATTTCATTTAGCTGCTTTATTAATTTCCAAGGAAAATACACTTTTTAATGTTTAATATGTCCATTTATTTTTCCCACAGGCCAGCAAACAAGTTAGAAATATGGGAGGATTTAAAGATAATAAGTAAGTGTAAATGAAAGATTGCATCTACATAATCTTTACTATAAATTTAAAAATGACTTTCAGATCCTTTAAATGCACATAGTATACCAGAATGGGTTCTTTTTTCAGTAGATATGAAGATAGCATACCACCCTCCAAATCCCCCCCTCCCCCCAAGCCCTCCTAATTAAGCATTTTTTAATATCCCTCGGGGAAGTCAGAAGCTTCAGTGTGAAGAGTTTTACTGCCTCTCATATTATCCTACTTAAGAAAAATTTGTGAGAACTTTCTGTACCACCATGGAAAAATTAAACTAGTTTTTCAGAAAATTCTGTACTGAAAGTATCGGAAAACTTCTCTCAGAAATGTAAGCCAGCCCTTATGTGGCCAGCTATTTCCTCTTTCTGAGCCTTAGCTTCAAGTAAGCACCGTAACAGTGGAACCCTTTGGTTCATCATTTTATATATTGGCTGATGGAAGAAGAGGATGGGAAGCTGGAGCAGTGAAGTCGAGTGATTACATGGTGAAACACCACATAGTTGGGGTTAAATAGTCCTTCTCATTTCTTAGTACCATTTGTTATCCCCTCCCCCCCCACACACACCCTTTGTTTTTGTCTTTCCTTCCTTTCGGTTTGGTTTTTTCCTTTTCATAACTCCTTTGTGGATCCTACTTTTGATTTGGTTCCTTTCTTCCCCTGTCCTTCCTACTTAGCACTCATCCAAATTTATTCATGCCACTTCCACACATCCTCTGTTGCCTAGTGGCTGGTAGTTGATGCTCACTTTCATTTTCTTTCTTTAGATATTAGCTGCTCCTACCTTAGGTGGTAACCTTTGTTTTCTTTTTCTGAGCTGCTATTACGCCTTCTGTGTCTTGATTGCATGATGAGGGCTAACCTATTGTCTATATTTCCTGGCCTCGTGAAGAAAGCAGATTTGACAGCACATTCATTTTCCTTAGAAAGGAATGTGTTATAGGGTACACCTTCTGGAGTAATTTGTATGACTTTTTTTTTTTTTTTTCCAAAATATGTTGTGTAACATGCTAAATTATATTAATATAGTATTCCAGATCATGCAACACTTTAGCCACTGTGCATCTTAGAGTTGTGATCGCCTTGGATGTGAGTTGTGAAAATGTGTTTTAGGGCAGCTGATGAGAGAAGCTACTGTGCATTTAAAAATCATTAGCATGCTTTGAGTCTTGGAGAGCTCTGTTCCCCTCCTCGTCTTGCCATTATTTCTTTAAAGTTAAAGTTTTTTTTTTGTCTTTTTTTCAAGGTTTCACAAGAAGCATTGTAGCTGTATATAGTACCTGTATGCTAGTAGTTCTTTTGCGAGTCCAATTAAATATTATTGGCGGTTACATCTACCTAGATAATGCTGCAGTCTGCAAGAATGGCACAGTAAGTTGTTTTTGCTGTTGTTTCAAAGGTGTAATTTCATGGATGTAAAGGAATGATTTAGTGAGAGATAAAAAGGGTATAGCTTAGGAGTATTAGGATGAAACCAAGAGTGCTGTAAGAGTGAGAGATGTGGAAGGATTCCTGATAGTAAGATACATTGTGTGTGCACTGCCTCTAAATTTGGATGATCTGGTGATCCTGTTGCTTAATGAAATACTAGCAATATTGCAGAATGGCTTTTGTCAGCTTTTGTATGGCTCACAGAAGGTTAATTCATATCTAGCATGTACATTAATTCCCCCAGTTAAGTTTTCCGAGAACTAACGAAGAAAACTGTTGGCTTTTACATTTGACTGTCTAACTCCAGTTGCTCCCAAAGCCCGTTTACCTAAATGTCTACGTTGGTGGTGCTAAACAAGGTTTTTCATTTTTATGGTGTAGCTATCACTGCTCAGTACAAATAAATTCCACTAATGGTAAGCAAATGCCTATGGTACAGAGGAAGATCTTTGAATTGTTGGAAGGCTTATCTAAAATAATGGATGCAAACTTTGA